AAAAACCAAAAACGCTACAGCACGTAAGTCCCCGCTCTAATACAACGCTTAATAAACCGTACCTTCGGATGACTCTGATTGCCAAGTGCAGGAAAATAGCTGCACTTGTCTCACTGCTATAGTATGCTGTGCTTCTCCAGTAGCCCATACATATAAACCGTGATTTTCTATTAGTGCACAGTGAGTCCACATCAAAACTTCCTATGTTCGTTTGCTTTTGAACACGCTACGTGGTGCAGCACCTAGTACCGCACGCACTGCAAAAATACAAGCAAGCAAATCAACATAATATTTGAATATATTATAAATAATATTTATTATATACCATATAAAGATAGGTGTAGAAAATTATTGCCTCTCATAATTTTGCCAGGGTGTGCACTGCACACCCTGCATATATGGACCGCACGCCACTGATAGAAAGAGAAACAAATTTTTATATAGAAATGCATAATTATTTCATGTATTTTTACACATTATGCCACTGAATATTGGTTAGTAAATATATAAAGAAAGAAATGGTTGATCTTTACAATATGGTAACTGGTAGTTTGGCGACATTTTGGAGACGATAAAGGTTACTACCTGGTTACAGCATTATTTTTGTGTGAGGGAAATGAGAGATCATGGGATATGTCATGTGATATTAATGGACGAATTACGGTTTCTTAATCGGAAAGGAAAAGGGGGGAAGGGGAAATCGGGAAAAATCTGGAAATTTTGGTATTGGCTTTATTCTGTGTTGTGTGAAACAGTTGTTCGTGAATTTTTTGGATCCATGGCCGTAACTAAAGTGAATTCGAATGGGTTATTTATGTATGTATTAATTAATGTATGTGCTCATTTATATTTTAAGTAGTGTTTTTGAATTTTATTATATTTTAATGAAATGATAGTTATTTGTGAATTTTATGTTGTAGGAATTTGGTATACGTTTAGTTGAAGTAAACGTGTATGGAAATAATTTAAATATCTGACACTAAGTATTTGTAATGGTTTGCGGTATGAATTCATTGGTGACGTGTATAATGTAATAGATGATTTAGAGGTAAAAAGTTTTTGGATATTTTATTTATTTTATATGTGGAAATGTTCATATTTGGAAAGGGTAAATACTTTTTCGCGATCAGGTAATTTCATATATGTTCTTTTTACCGGGTTTAAAGATTGAGAAAATTGTCATGTATTTTCGTGAAATTTTTCTAATTTATGAGAAAAAAGCAGTGTACATGGATATAGTGAAGAGTGTGCACAATGCCATTTTTGTGCAATTCTGAGATGTTTGTTTTTTTAAGTAAAAATAAGTCGGCGAGTACGTGGTTTATACGTATGTGTTATTTTGAAAAACGCGTAAGGAGTATGGTATTGTGCACTTTTTCCCAATTTTGCAGTGAATATTTGTCATGATTAAGCAGTTTTGTTAGATAAAATTTCTAGGATAAGTGTAATTCGGCTAGTAGATTGTTGGAAGAAGTGTTCAGTAGATAAAAAGAAAAGAAACATGTCTTTACTTCGTGAAGACAAATTGGCGGCGGGAAAAAAAAAAATAGAGGGTTGCTGTAGGAGAGTTGGTCGCCAAATTTTCGCCAAAAAATGCCAAGTTACCATAATGTAAAGATCAACCAAAGAAATTTAGAATTAACTTTTCACAAAGACCAAAAAACTGAAATTCATAATTAATAAATTTACATAAATCCTTTAAATGTAGAATAAGGAAAGTAAAAGAACTTCACAAACTCGGTATCCATGTACTGCCAAAAATCAACAATTTACTCCAAGGGGCACCCATAATTATAATTTTATAGCTAAAACTTTAGAAAGCATCAACTTATGGTAACAGTGGGGTTGTCCTTTGTGATAATGAATTTTCAAGAGACAGACCACTTACGTCATTTAAGAAAAATAACATGGTTGATTTCTTTGAAAGTTAAATCTTACTTATGTAATAATTTATGAATATTAATAAGAAAAAATCGCATATGACAAATCAAACTTGCATAGAGAAATTTACTAATGATACTTATCTTAAAAGGGTAAATAGCATTGAAAGTAAAATAAGAGTCTAAAAATATGGGGAAGTATTACAGAAGAATATGAACCACTGAAATCATATAAAAGGGATGATGATAATTATGAAAACTTGAAATAGCAAGATATATAATGAATCAAACTAAGACAGTTCTATAAGTATTAAAATATACCTATGAAAGAAGAAATAAAAAAACAGCAAAAACAATAGCTATTCAGATGAAATGTAGAATAGAATTAGCTTGAATAAAAATGAAGCAGGATGAATCAAAGTATTCAAATAGGTGATGAAATAAAAGATAAAGTATAAATTTACTTCACAGTAGAAGGACTAGGGAATGAATTTGATGTTAAAATCACTAACAACAACAGAGTTAAAAACACAGCTACAATTATACAAGCATAAAAAAAAAAAAAAAAAAAAAAAAAAAAAATTTTTTTTTGAAGGACAAAATTAAACAAAAATAAAATGAAAGACAAGAAACAAAAGCAGTCTGTAAAGTAAAAGAAAACTGATCACAGTTAAAACATTCTAAAGGTAGATGTGTTTATATAGGAACACTTAATACAACACTTATCGAAATAATGTGGTAATGCCACAAAATGTTCTTGTGGAAAATTAGGTTGCAAATTAACATAATACAAAAAGAAAAATAAAGAACATAAAAAAAAAAAAAAAAAAAAAAAAAAAAAAAAAAAAAAAACTCCAACGGTTAACAAATAAAACTGCTAGAATAGCATAAAAAGAATAGGAACCAGCTATGTGTTTATGCTAAGCATCTATGAAAACTGAAAAAACTTCATCTTTTAATCAAGAGAGAAATAATCCAGAGAATGAAATATAAGAACTACATGATAAAAAAAAATAGATTATAAATTCAGGAGCTACATCTGACATGGCAAGAAGTAAAGAAATATTTAGCAGTTTTAAAGATGAAAAATGACAAATATTGACAACTGAAAAAAGAAGCTATATTTAAGAAGTTGGTAGTGGTGGTATTAAGATGGAAACTGATAGAAATATAAAAAATTTAAATGTACAAAATATTCTGGTGAAATAAAAATTTAGGTGACAATTTACAGTCAGTACTAGATTTGTTGATCACAATTTAACAGTAATTTTTACCAAACCTAAAGCCGAAGTGATCAATAAACATGAAGACATTCTATATATCTTCAACAGAAATTGAAATAAATCTGAAGTTGAAGGAAATGCAATAGAAGCAGTAGGTAAAATTAGTAATGTTAAAGATTGTTTGTTTCCAGAGTTTGACACATTCTGAAAATGTGGCAGGTTCTACTAAGGTCATTGCATTAATATGCAAGTACTTTTTGTTAAAGTGTATTCTTTTAAATATAGTCTCCTGTAGTTAAAAAAAAATGATTACATTTTCATTAAACAGCACTGCATTTTGCATCGGTTAAATGTAGAATCGCCCACGTATTTGTTTGGCCTTTTTACAAGAGTAAGAAGAATTGGATTTTTATCAATTTTCTTTGACTATTTAAGTGAAAATAGGTCGAGGTGCACATGGTCGAGGTTGCAATGCCATTTTTGTGCAATTCTATGATTTTTTTTTAAGTGAAAATAGGTCAATGTGTACATAGAAAACGAGAATGCACAATTTTTAAAAACGCGTTAATCAGTGGGCGATTCTGCCCCTTTTGCATCTTTCAGATAGCAGTATCAGAGCAGAATTTTAAACAGCAAATGAATTATGGGAAATGCGATGAAAGTTTTTGCCCTGAGCAAGCCACTGTTGAGGGAAAACAAAAGGAAACTTACAAAATTACGTAAGTAGTTCTAGCAAAAGTCATCAGAAAAAAGGCAGGGAAGGTTAATGGACAAAGACATTCCTGAACCCGAGGAGTAGGTGCAGAATTTCTTTCGTCAATATTTCAGTCGGAGCTACCTTTTTGAATCATTACAACTCTGATCTATTTTTTAACCATGTCCTCAAAGCATTAACTGACATAAAAGGATTTGTTTCCTTAGACTTTTTAAAATACTTTCTTCCGTTTAATAAGTTAGCATTTTTATTGTTTTGTTATAATACTATTCATCTCAGAGTTATTTCACATACATACAGATAATTTTGAACTGCATGCAATATACAATTTACGATACTTCCTTATTATAGCAGCCCTTAAAATTAAATCACTAATCAACCAAGATGTAACATGTAGCCAGGTATAAGAACACATGGCGAGGTATCTCGACTGATCAGGTATTCAATCCTGAGGGCCACTATAATAAGGAAGTAACCAATTTTCCCATATACAAATCATAGAGCAATATTATATGTTACTAATAATATTTCATTCACACCACAGAAGATATAAGAATGAGGTTTTTCTTCATTTTTCAATTCTAATAACAGAAGGAATGCTAAATCAGAAACTGAAAAATATGAAGTAAAATAAGTAAAATTAAATCAAATTATTTATTTGAATACTTCCTAAACTATTTTTTTTCTTTCATGCAGAAAATTACAAACATAAAATTTTAGTCTTTTTTTTTTTTGGGGGGGGGGCAGCTATTAACAGAATTTAAAAAGTTACGAAAATTATTTTATATTTTATAGTATTGTAAATACTGTTGCATATTCATAGGTAACAACAATCAATGGTCATAAAGGGAAGAAACAGAGAATAAGAATCTACTAAAGAGAATTAATTGCAATTAAATTTTTAACATAATTTTAATTTCAGGTATCTTTATGGTTAGACTGGGTTTAATGATTTAATTCTTATTTTCTTCTGTTTCCCAAAATAACAGAAAAACGACAAATACATATTTATATTCATGCAAGTCTTTTAAATATTATAGCAGGTAGCTATTTTATCGTAACATGATTACGAGATTCCTTTTCACAATTAAATACAACTTAGCCGATTTCAAATTAAAAAAAAAAAAAAAAAAAATTTTTTATTACTGTTTATAAATTTATTGCTATAGTTTTAAAACTTACCATACAAAATTGCTAAACCAGTTTCATGCAAAAACCTAGCTCGACGACGTTTGAAAAACCAGATGGTACAAACAGTGAGAATTAGTAATATAACGTAAACTAGAATATTCAAACAATCGATTTGATGAATCCTTTTAGCATTTTCGTCTAATCTTATATCATACGGAACATTTCCAAAAACAGTGTTCGCTAAGAATGAAATAAAAGTAAAAACTGGAAGAAGCATAATTTTCAGTCGAGGAGCCATATTAATTTAAACGCCCACAACCGGCGTAAAAGAGAAAATATTTAGACATATAATACTATGAAAGATTAATAAGCAGCACCAAAACGTTTGAATGCTAATAACTCAGCATAAGCCTACACTGCTGTGTAAATACGCGGTAAAACCACACGCGAGTTGCATATATAAAAAAAAAATTTAGAACCTCTGCCTAGTACGAGAAAATATTGCGAAACTGACTTGTCAAGTAAACATTGCTTAATATTTTGTTGCCATACATAGAAACCTAAATCTTTTTAAAGGAATGACTCGTTTCAAGAAGAAAAATAAATAGAAAATAAAGAAGTTGTAATTGCTTTTTATATTATTAGATGTCACAGTTTCTAATTGGTGTCTTAACAAGTGTAACTTAATATGTTTCGATCGAAGCATTTTTCTCTAAAACAGTGAAGTTATACTTTCTACAGCATGGTATGGAACGTAAACTTCCAATGACAACCTTCTCCGTTTTACTGAAGTTAACAGCTTTGTTTAGGTACAGGTACAAGATTTCACAATTTCATCATTGATCACACAGGTATAGTCTCAACTCACTCACGGAGAAACCTCTGTTACATATTATAAAATAATTAATATCAGTATTTAAACTTATCTACTACTTCACCTACGGTTTTGAACTACGGTTTGTGTTATCACTTTTCCTGTTATTGAATAGCAACGATTAGTACTGTTACTAAGGAAAATTTTCATTTCTTTTTTACGTAATCTTTAGAATGCAGTGTTTCAGTTTTTTCCCTCTTTTTTTAATGTTGTTTATGTTAGCAATGCAATTTAAGGCTACATTTTAATTGAATAAATAGTTGTTCATTTTAAAAGTTATCGTATTTATTCATCTGGAGAACATGCAGTCTATCTGAGTTATTTAAAAGGCGTCCACAAATTTTTGTTTGATATTGTTATTTACATTTCTTGACGCTACGCGATAGGGTTTTGTTTTTGGTTTCGAAAAAATGTTTCAAGTAGCAAAAGGATTTAACAAAGGAAAAACATCTATATTCACAGAGACCTTCGAATCGAACTTATTCAAGAGTATATTAAACGATTAGCGGTCAACTTCTTTTATTCAGTACAAACCCACAGTAATAGCCTTATTAGCACTCTCAGACACTCCCCGCATCCCAGAGAAAAACATCGATACCCATGTGACTTCCTACCCACATAAATTACAACCTTAATCTAGGTAGCAAAACTGTCTCAACCACATTGTAGTAGTAATAGTAAGCTCTCATTTAGGATCTTGTGCAAAGTAAAAATTTGATTGCGCTCAACATACATAGAGGATCATTTGAATGGGCTATATATTAAATGTGAATCCAAAAATTAATTCAAAAATGTATTCAAGTAGATAAGAAGTTGTATAAAGATTTAGCTCAGGCAGGAGAAAAATTATTGTAGTATAGATGACAAGACTAACTTAAAAAAAATATTTCCGAGTGTCTTTTATTTCTATTCACCGCTATTCACCGAATTTCAACACTTTATTTGCTTATGCATTCAAAATTTATTCATTTTTCATTTACTCGTTTATTCGATTACGACAATTCGATTCGCCTGGATTCGAAAACATGTTGGAACTACCAGTGTTCAGCGATTTTACCGCTCAGCCACTGCTGAGCCATCGAACTGTTGGGCCGACTACTAATGCTCAGTTACCTTTCCGCGCTGTCACAAGTGCCCATATTCCAGTCTAATCCATATTTAGTTTTTCTCAGTTTAAGGTCCTTTGCAATCCTCCCTTCTATGGATCCTGGTTCCTCTCATGTGATATATTTAAGTAGCCAACACATTTTACTTACTTTATGCAAAATTTCATGATAAAAACAAATCACAGCAAAACGTGTTTAATAAATATATTAAAACTAATTACTACAGAAACTGGAAAAAAAATTACAAAATCGTATAAAAGGAAAGGACTAAGTATTTTATCGTACAATTCGAAAAATGGAAAAAAATTTAAAAAATGATTTACAGTAATAAAATTAATTTATCCTTACATATCAAAGGTTTCTTCCCATTAAGTAATCTTTTATATAAAACTATAGATATTGTAAATATATTTTAACAGGAAGTGAAAAACTTAAATGTTCATTGGAAAGTCACAACTTTGTGTGTGAATATTTAGCAAAACATTTTATACACGACGGAACTGATGCAAACATTAAGACTATTTGGAAGGGGAAAATATATTGAAAAAAGGTGTTTCAAAGTGGGATTCAAAATACAACAAAGATTTTAGAAAGCATTCACTTAAATTTCGTAGTGTTAATAAATCTTTGGTTTATTAAGGTGGAAAAACTGACGTCTCTACCCGAATTTATTGAAATTTTAGCATTTTATAAGGTATTTCTTCCCTCCTTTCCGCATGGTTTCGTGGTGTAACTGGAAGCATACTCGACGCGTATTCGAAAGGCCAGAGTTCGAGTACCGTCGAGGGCACTGTAAATTTTTCACGTCTCCAGCATGGAAAAAAAAAAAAGAAAAAAAAAAGTCTACAAATGGCGCCGGAACTCAAAAAAATGTGGTGGACAATAATTCGTCATCACCAGGATTTGGCGAATGAGTTCCATAATCCCCAGTCGCCCTTTAAAAGAAGGCGTACATGAAGTATTTTCCTTCTCCTTTTAGCATGCCTTCGTGGCGTAATTGGAAGCGTATTCGAGAGTATACCACTCCCAGTGAAGGCATTGCATATTTTTTACGTCTCCAGTATCCAAAAAACGTAATAATTCTACAATCTGGTATCGAAAAATATGGTTAAAATATGTAAATTACTTATCGTCGACAATTTGTGAAATTAATAGTTATAAAATGATAAACATCTTTAAATAATTATACCTGAAATAAAGAAATCGAAGAATTATGCATACTTGGTTGATCCACATCTAACGTAAGTCTTGTTGATTGATTTATAACCATATTTTACTATTTGTTACATAACCGAGAATGTGTGGAGAAGATCCATGCCTTTTCATCTATACATTTCCGTACTGGTATGGAAACTGTTTTACAAGAAGGACCATGTAAAGCTTTTAAATCCAAAAGTTACAAAGTGTGAAAAAGTTGCAAACAGCTTACAAAGCATCAAAACTACGATAATGCTGCAAACTTACCTTTAATTATTATTATATTGACTTATTTTCTTTTTAGTAGACGTTTAATTATAATTTTATTATTTATAGTAAATTTATTATTCTTATTATAATAAATAGTATTTGTATTATTATATATATTTCTTATATCTCCGGAGCTATTATGCATCATTGTTGTATTACGTCTCTTTTGTATTACTGAGTTATTTACTTACCTCGCGGCATATTCTGGGGAACATGAGGAGCTTTGCATTTGTTTTCTAAAACAGTAAAAAAAAAAAAAAAAAACTGATGTGTACATCACATGACTTCCATGTATGGAATATTAAATTATCCTCATTTTTTTCCTGCATTTCATTTAAACTTATTTCCTCAAATTTCATTCCAGATACATCTCTCATTCAATTCATTCAGTTCTCACTGCGCGACAAGGCAAAAATACATAAAACCTCAAAATATCTTTATTAAAAATTGAAAATACTGAAAAATCAAACAATTAGAAAAAACAATTTTTACAATTAAAATTACAATTTCTACGCAAAAACAAGCAATTCGGCCAGCAAGCAAGACGGCAGATTTTTCGGGTACAAAACTGAAAGTTTCCATTTGGTCCCACTTGGCAAAATATTTCAGAAAGACATAATAAACTATTCTGGTAAGTTTTAAATGTAAACAAACGTGGCTGTTAGGTAAGACAATTAGGCTTAGCCGCACTTAAAAGTAACTTTTAAATTGTTGATAATTCTGCAACTATTGCATGAAGACTAAATAAAGGCATAAAAACCTCAACCGTAAGATAAGAACAACATAATTCAATCATTTTTAAATTAAAACCGCGCAGTTTACCTACATATAAAAAAAAAAAAAAAAAAAAACCTGAGCTCACTGAACCGAGTAATGGAAAGGGTGTATATATATATATTTATATAAAATATATATTTATATAGTCTTGGTGCGGCCGATTGCAATCAAAAAGGGTGCACAAATACATGTTATATCAGTCCCATATACGAAATTTCAACGTTCTGAGGCTACTCATTTTTGAGGTATTAGGGGTACATGCATACTTACGTACGTACAGACGCCGCGGAAGACTGATACTTACGTACGTATACAGACGCCGCTGGACGCCTCTTGTGAATCCATTTTAAATCAGTTTTAAATTTCTTTTGGGGGAAAAGAGTCCTTTATTCTGTCCTTGAGAGAGTATTGTCATTCAAAAATATCGTTAAATTGCATTCGATAGCGGTCAAAATGAATATTTTCGTTGAAATATGATGCCCAGAATTTTTCTTGATTACAATGCTTCCTTTGCTTCGTACAAGGAAGTAAAAAAGAAAGTGTTGTCTGGGAGCTGCATTATATTTTAATCTAGTGGAAAGAACTTGGCCAAATATCTTCTTCGTTACCTAGCCATTGGAACGTTTTGGAATCTAAATTTCTTGAAAATAAGACACATTTCACAGCTGAGAGACCGTGGGTGTATTGTAGCATTTCTTTTATATCGATGAAGAATTCGCTTAAACAAACATTATATTTTATTTTGGTTATTTCATAATTTCGCCGGTCAGTATGCACAAAAAGGAATAGATACAAATTAATGTGCAACAATAATCCTATTTTCCGTTATTCCGCATCCATCCTCACACTCCAACTTGTAGAGTTCTTCTTAGTTCACTAACCAATTATTTTAATTTTAGTATCTTTCTGAATTCTTTTATTTTCCACTCACATTTTCTCGCCAGGGTGCAATTTAAGTAGGTGAACGAGAGTATTTAAATGGTAGAAATGGAAAAAGTTTAAATACAGCGCGATTTCGCTAGTGAAGCCCATGTTTCTTAATTTGTCCTCCAGTTGTTATCTTAGCAGCGGCTGCGCATTTTGCCCGTCTACTTAGCATATTGCTGGTGTAGATTTACGAATCAGCCTGTTAGATTAAATTGAACTGCATAGTTCAGCACTACATCTTCTAAATTTATTTGTCGAATTATTTTTAAGTTCTCACCGCAAGTAGTTGCTGAGTTGAGCAAGTATCCGCAAAGAGTTGTGCTTAATAAAAAGAGCTTTTTACACCTTTCCTCCCTGCTGTGCTGTTGCC